TTTTTTTTTCTTTTTTCTTTTTTTTTTTGAGTAAACATAGCTTTGAGCTGGGTGGTGATAGCCCACGCCTTTAATCCTAGCACTCCAGAGGCAGAGGCAGGCAGATCTCTAAGTTCAAGGTCATCCTGGTCTACAGAGCAAGTTCCAAGATACCCAGGGCTACACTGAGAAACTGAGTCTCAAAAATAAATAAATAAATAATGTGCATAGTTTTGAGCACATGACTGATTAAATATCACCCTCTACTGCTGTTTACAGATTAAAAATTCAAAGTCACAGAAAGAAGGAGAAGTGGAAAAGTGATGCCTAGACACAGGTCAGAATCCCTTCTTTCTCTCGGTCAAAAGTAGCTCATGTTAAGGTCCACATTTCATGCTGAGAGTGCCTGAGTTCAAATATGTGACAAGAACAGGGAAGAAAGCAAAGAACATCAACAGTAAAGTGCACAGGACTAACTATTTTTAGCAGGAAAAAAGACAGTAATTGAGGAAAATCAGTGCAAGGTCTCTTCGCTGTTCAGATTCCTTCCAGCTTCTCAAGGAAGCAGCAAGGGAAACTGGAATACTTGTCCTCAGAGGACAGCAGCTACTCATAGCCCTTAATGCTATCCCTAAGGGTACTGGGCCATGTCCCTGGTGATTGACAGACCATTCAACAGGAATAGTATCAGGGAGGTGACAGAAGGCAGCCATTGAGGATCACTTCAAAAGAAAAAGAAAAAGGAAGAGAGATTCCCATGGAGATTCTACCTCAGGAAGACTACAAAAGAGCGGCGTGACTCCTGGGAGGCAGAAGCCCAGGGAGGCCTAGGCAATAGGCTTGAAAGCAACTAAGCATTAAGCAAATGCTACATTAGGTAAGATAGTGAGGGAGTTGACATACTATTATAGGACTTACAGCTTTTCAGTCTTTATAAATTTTTTCTTTCTTTCTTTTTTTTTTTTTTAAACATCTCTGGCTGTCCTAGAACTCCCTTTATAGATCAGGAAGGCCTTGAACTCACAAAGATCCACCTACCTCTGCCTCCCAAGTGCTGGGATTTAAGATGTTTGCCACCACCGCCCAGCTTATGTATATATATACTCTTTCAAATCATTTTCACTGTCTATAAAGAAATACAGAATGATTTGCCTATAGCCGCCCACTAGCAGCAGGCACAGGAGACCACATCTCTAAAGACCAGGCCTTGAAGCTGAAAGTCGGTACCACCCTGGGTTAAAAGAACAGATGAGTTGTTTTTTTACTTTGTTTTGAGACAGGGTATTTACTATGTAGTGCTGGCTGGCCTAGAATTCACAGAAATCCACCTGCCTCTGCCTCCAGAGTGCTGGGAATAAAGGTGGTGGTGGCACACGCCTTTAGTCCCTTCACTTAGGAGGCAGACGCAGGCAGATCTCAGTAAGTTTGGGGTCAGCCTCGTCTACAGAGGGAGTTCCAGGACAGCACAGTATATCCTTTGAATACAATGAAAAGAGGCACAGTAAAACCCCAGCACATGTCCTGATGTCTAGTATGAAGTCAAAATCCCCAAAACAAATTTCAAGAGAGTCCAACCTGAGTTCTATCCCTGGGATCTACATAGTGGAAGGGTAGAAATAATTGCTAAGGTTGTCCTCTGACTTCCACATGTGCACCATGGCCCAAATACACTGAAGCACATACACATGCACACACATACACACACGCATACACATGCAACCACATACACACACATGAACATGTATGCACACACACAGCATACACATGCACACACATGCATACACATACACACGCATACACATGCACACATGAATACACATGCACACAATGCACACATACACACATGCACACACATACACACATGCATACACATGATACACATGCACACACATGCACACACACAGCATACACACATGCACATACATGCATACACATACACACATGCATACATGTGCACACACATGCACACATGCATACACATACACACAATGCACACACACGCACACACATGCACGCATACACTGACATACTCATACAAATAAATAAATGAAATATATATATACATATATATATATATATATATATATATATATACATATACATATACACACATATATATTTAAAAACAAAAGTCTGCCAGGCATTGTGGTACACATCAGTAATCCAGACCTGGGGAGGCACATGTAAGCAAGCTCTATGAGCTCCAGACCAGACAGGACTACATAGTAAGACTTTGTCTCAAAAAACAAAACAAACATAAACAGAGTTCAAGACATCATCTGTGAAATTATGAAAAAAGTCATATCAAATAACTTTACAGTCAACACTAAACAGCCAGCCAATGATGGGTAAAAGAATCATTCAGAATTAAGAAAATACACCAAGAAAATTGAAGAAGAATGTGGGAAAAAAACCACAAAGGGACCCGAAAGGAACTTAGCAGAGGGTTTATGCATGAGGACAGCTGTCTAGCAGTGACTACCTGCCAGATGTGTGATGTACAGTAATACTAACATTACAAAGTCATGTGCTTGTCCATGGTCAGTCTCCAAGTTATGTTCAAAAATGCCAAACTCAGTTTACCATGATCTCAAATGCCTCTTACTGAGGAAGGTAAGTTCCATTCTCAACTTCTCTTATCATCTGTAATAGGTGTTATGTGGTCTTTTTTGTTGTTGTTGAGAAGTAACCCATTTCTCTAGAGGATATAGCTAGAGTAGATAACTATAAGGCTGGGGTGTAGGGGGATAACCCGTCCATATTCCTTGGCCTCAATAAACATGTAGCAAGTGCATAGACATGTCTAGCCAGAGTCCCTTCTGCCAACAAGCCTACTCCAGCCTCCTGAAGCCAGCCAGAGCCCAGAAGCAGTCACTAAGACAAAGTCCCCAGCACACCTGTCACCTCCCCCACACCCACCCTACAGGCACAGAGCCTGGCTAACAAGCGTTCAGACGTGTGCCTTAGAAGACACTGCAAAGGAGACAAAGCTGGCCAGCCCCACTCTTCCACCCAGAGCCCCACACTTAGCTTCCCCTCTCCCCGCTGATCTTCCCTGTCCTCTGTCCTCAGATGCTGGAATGATTTGTTCTGAAAAGCGACAGGTTTATAGGTTAGCCGACACCTCTGCTCTGTGGAATTTTAATTAACTTCTCCCATCGTCAATATGCTAAGGAATGGGGTCTCCATTCTCTGGGGTCAGCAATGTGTTTCAGGTCTTGCTATATCAGCCGTCAAATTGAAGAATTAATGACGTGGCTAATCGGCTCTGATTCGTAGGAAGGAAAAAAACTGAAAGGGAGTTGTGGACAAGAGCAAGAGGAGGGAGCAGACTCCATGAGGTGAGGAGAAGGAGGCTGAGGGGGCTGAGCAAAAGGGCACCACCTTGCTTATATAAACAGTGACTGACTTAATCAGGTGGTGGAGGTAGGTAGCTCTAGAGCTTTCCCAAGTCCATTCAGGTGGGATGAGAGACATCAAGGAAATACACACAGACAGACTCTACTAACTTCTATTATAGTTCAAGTATAGGAAAATGTCTAAACCCCACTGGGGAGGAGGGAGGCCCAGCCTTGGTTCAAGATAGCCTAGATAGGTGTTAGATCAGTTAAGAGCCCTGACCGTTCTTCCAGAGGACCTAGGTTGGATCCTCAGCACCCACATCGTGGCTCACAGCCATCTGTTACGGGGATTCCAACACCCTCTTCTCGCCTCTGAGGGCACTGTGTATATGTTATGCACAGAGAAACACACAAGCAAAACACCCATACACACAAAGTAATAGATTTTTTTAAAGCCTAGATAAAAGCACATAATATATCTAAAAGAAATTGTCTACATGAAACTCAATATTATGTGTATTGAACATAAGTCAATAAAATGTTTTTAATAATAACCAAAAATATTAACAAAAACAAAACAAAACAAACCCCCCCCCAGAAGTCAGGATGTAAAGTTCACTTGCTCACATTTGTCCAGTTTTAGCTTTTTATTTTGCTTTCAGATATTTTGTTTTGTTTTTTATTTTGTTTTTGAGACAGGGTCTCAATCTGTGGCCTACCCTGGCCTCAAGCTCGTGGGTGACGTTCCTGCCTCAGAGCTAGTTAAAGCTGAAGAAACAGCTTCAATTAATGTCTTGCACTTGGAATCCTAGCCATTGAGAAAAGCTGAGGCAAGAAGATCACAAAGTAGCTCTTGGCCAGTCTGAGCTATGTAGTGAGTTCTAAACCAGCCTCAGCTATATAGCAAGACTTGGTGGGGTTTTTTTTTTTTTTTTTTTTTTTTGTTTGTTTTTGTTTTTAAGAGCTGCCGGACTGGAGAGATGGCTCAGCAGTTAAGAGCACTGGCTCTCTTCCAGAGGACCTGGGTTTGATTCCTGGCTCCCTCCCACATGGTGGCTCACAATGATCTGTAACTGCAGTCCCAGATGCAGCGCCCTCTTCTGGTCTCCACGGCACCAGACACGCAAGTGTTGCACAGGCCAAACTACCATGCGCATAAAATAATGAAGCAGAGCTGCACTCTTTTACTACATTGTCGATGTTTCTGCTGCTCTACATACACAGATGAGGGCCCGGTTGGCAGGCCCCAAACCTTTCCTCCTCTCCTGATACCCACAGCCTGTAAGAGATACTCCAGAAGACATTGTCAGGGAACAAAGCAGAGATGAGTCCAACAGCAGGCTAGCTGGGGCTGTCAGCTCTCAGGTATACTGAGAAGCCCTTGCTTTGGAGCAACCCCAAAGGACATCTGCTCCAGAAAGGGAACCCTGACCCCTCCGTTACATTCCAGGGTGGTATCTCTGCCTTAACTTTACTCATCAGATGCTTAGGAACGGTTATCTCAATTCCACAAGTATGTGAAAAGACCTAAAGCCCTCAAGTCTGGGGAATGTTTAAATCTCCTGGAGAGTGGTTCACAGCAACCTAGAGTACACTAGTGAAAATTTCTCTAGCTTATCAGACCTAATACAATGAAAACATTCTTGTGTGAGACAAAAACCCAAACACGGCCTCCCTTACCTGAGTAGCGGGCTGATGGCAATGGACCAGACTCGGTCTTCAGTCTGGATGGTGTGTAAGCACTGCCCCAGCTGGCCCGAGGCCAAAGGCCACACCTGCAACAGGACAGGAAATGCTCTTGTTGGCCTGTGATCAGGAGGAAGAAACACACAGCAGGTGGAGTGATGCGATTAGGGAGGTGGGGATAGAGGACCCTCTCTGTCCTCAAGACAGAGCTCAGGGCATCAGGAGAGAAGCCACTCCAGCTTCACCTGCCGCTGACAGCCATAACCACCCACCTTTACTTCCAGCTGAGAGCCCTTAATTGCTAGCCAACTTTCTAGCAGATAATGCGAAGTTTCACATAGCCTGTGGGAGATCTAACTAAGAAAGGGTAGATGGCAGTAGCCTGTCTGTCTCAGAAACTTCCTTGTGTTTGTGGATCTTCCTTTCTGCTATCTTTCACCAAAGCTTTACTTTAGGCATAGAGGGAGAGACAGGAAGATCAAGGCACAATCTGGGGAGACATGTATACTGTCAGAGAAGTAAAAAGAAAGCTGCAAAACAAGGAAAGAATGGAAAAGAGACTTCAAAGTGAGAAGGTGGTGTGTTGTTGTTTGTTTGTTCATAATACCCAGGACCCAAAGCTATTCATGTCAGCAGGGAATTTAGCACCTAGTGTCACCAAAAGTAGCAGAAAAGCTTAACTCCTTTAAGCTTCCATATCTCCACAGGTTAAAAATATTGCTTGGAGCACACTATCTGGTCCCTATCAGTCAGGAATGTACATTAGCAGGCACTCGGGGCTTAACTCTAATCAACACTCCCAGAGCCTCTCAGCAGTCCGTGCATTTAGAAATCTCCCATTAAGCACAGGGCTCCCCTCACCTCGCCCTACCCCAGATGACACATGCAGGGACATAAGCCTCTAACCAAACAGAAAGGAAACCTCAAATGTACAGGGCTCTCCCCAGAGCAGCCACAGAGGGATCCCATGGCAGCTAGATGGATCAATGACCTCTCAAGGTCCCGGCAGAGCTATAAGGGGAACACACCAAACTCAGGCAGGACCTTAGATGGAAAAACTTAAGAAAACATTCCTTCAGTGTAAGGGGCAGGTGATGGAAATGGGGGTGGTCTTGCCTTCTTAGGGTCACATGGTATCTCTTCCCTATAAAAGGAGAAAGTGTTTTCTTAGAGTTTCTGGGTATGGTGGATGGGGGATGGGATGATAGTAGGGGCAACTTTTCCCAAAACTAAGAAAAGAAATTTAACAAGAATATTCTGGGTGAGAAGGGGATACAAAACACAACAAAGGCAAACCCTCAATTTTCCCTGTAAGGCTGGTATGGTGGCAGCTGCTTTGGATTCAACAGTCAAAGCCTTTGGTAATAACTAGATTCCCTTCTGGTCTCTTCCTTTAGACTGTCCAGCTTGGAAGAGATCTTTGCCTTTTTCTTATCTGAACTCCTTGGAGGCAGGTCCTTGCTTGCAGGGTGAAGTGCAAACTCCTGATTTACAAAAATCTCTGGGGACAGCCTAAACCTGAGTTTAGTACTAGCTTCCACAAAGACAGCTAGTAGACTCTGAGAGCCCACAAACCACAGGACAAGGCTACAGATCTGTGGGAATGACTCAGAAAATGCATTGCCAACATTCAGGAAAGTGGCCAAGAGTATCCTGGCACCTGAGGGACAGGAGTTGACACAGTAATGATCTGGTCAGATCTTTAATATCAACACAAAATAGACCCACCCTGGAAAATACTCAATGAAAGTATACATTTGTACAGTCCTTTTAGAAGGCAGGTTGGAACAATGATTTTTGTTTGACTCAGGAACTCTAAGGCTGAGAATTCATTCTAAACAAAAAAAAAAAAAAAAAAAAAAAAAAAAAAAACCCTAAAACAAAGAAAAACCAAAAATGGGAAATACACTAATTCCTGCAGCCTATTGCTACTGGAGTCTAACCAGATTTGGCCCCTACCTATGACTCATTGTCTTAGCTCCTAGAGATGTTTCCTAATTCTTGGTCTCAGTTTCACCTCAACAAATGGGGAGAAATGCCTATGTCTCGGAAGCACACTGTAGAAAAGGGAAGATAATAGAGTACTAAAACAGCATGGTGTACAGAATTAATAGGAATCAGGAGCTGCAGAAAGGGTTCTCATTTCCAGGTTCTTGTACCCAGGAAGAAAGTAGGCAGAATCATCCACATACTAGAGAGGATTTTAAGTAAATAATGGTAGGCTCATTTGGAAGCCACTGAAGATAACATGAGGGCTGGATATATGGCTCAATTAATAGTGTCTGCCTAGCACACACAAAGCCTTGGGTTTGATCTCCAGCACTACACAGACATGGAATCCTAGCATTCAACAGGTGGAAGCAAGATCAGAAATTATCTCAAAAATAAATATATATACATGTTTATATACAATATAAAGTATATACATATATGTATATATACACACACATTTGTATAGAGTAGATACCACAGGGTATACTGTATATCTAAAACACAATTATGCAGGGGAAGATAATTACCCAAAAAGATAAATGAATGGGGTGCTTAGGACTATGCCCAATTACAGACTTCATTGTTAGGAAGTAATTCCAGCAGGCATGTGGTAGCATATACTTATATTCTAGAGAGATAGAAAAATTGCAAGTTCAAGGTTAGCCTGTGCCACATAGCCAGACACTGTCTCAAAAGAGAAAAAAATGATAGATCTGAGGTTTTAGAGAAGAACCTAAGGCTACCGCTTAGCTGAATCAACATAGCACCAAACCCCCTTGAGAATACCTTCTTATACCCATAAAGGCTACTCTCAGCTGTCAGAAGAGAAGCCTCCCCTTGCAGTGAACAGAAGTGAACACAAGGACCTACGGCTTCCCAGATGCTCATTCTAGGACTGCTGGAGTGGGGGTTGGGGTGGGGAGAGCTCAGCCTTAACCAGGGCACTGAGCCACCCTCCTCAGATCTGGGGAACACAGTCTGCAAAATGCTATCTTCTAAACACAAAATGCCATGACAGCCATGAGGTCACAGTAACTGTGGCTACTGACACTAAGCTCCCTAACACTCAGCTATGACAAAAAAGGTTTTTTAGTACTGCATCTATTGACAACTAACAGAATCCTGTTATATACCTGCTCATAAATATAGTCCAAGTTAAACTCTATAGGACACTAATAAAAATAAAAGCTACTAAATATAGTTAAGATATTTGTAAGGGGGCTGGAGAGATGGATCAGTGGTTAAGAGCACAGACTGCTCTTCCAGAGGACCTAAGTTCAATTCCCAGCACCCACATGGTGGCTCACAACAATTATATGGGATCTGATGCCATCTTCTGTCATGAAGATGTATAGGAAGATGGAGCACTCATATACATAAATTAATAAATCTTTAAAAAAGAAAAAAGATATTTGTAAGGAAGAAGGGGGTAACCAGAATGTATTACAAACATGCATGAAATTAACTAAGAACAATTTTTTTAAAAGCTCTAAGGATTCACCTGTCTGTGTCTCCCCACTGTCCCCAGATGTTAAGTATTGACTACCTAAACCCAGATCTTCATGTGCAGCTAGTTAAGCACTTGACTGGGCTATCTCTCTAGTCCCAGATATACTTAGGAGCAGTTTGGCAAGTTAAAGCCAGAATCTTTGCAAGGAATGCTCCAAAGTCACTGACTAAGTGAAAATCTGAAGTAAATATGAGGTGGGGAAGAGGAAGAAACAGTGGTAAGAAATGTGGTTTCCATAAAGGTTCAAAATATTCCATAAAGCTAGGCAGTGGTGGTGCACGCCTTTAATCCCAGCACTCAGAAGGCAGAGGCAGGTGGACCTCTGTGCCAACCTGGTCTACAGAGTGAGTTCCAGGGCAGCCAGGGCTATGCAGAGAAAGCCTGTCTCAACCCCCCCCCCAAAAAAAACCCACTAAAGCCAAGTATAGTAGCTTATGCCTATAATCTCAGCATTTGAAAATGAAGACACAAGGATCATCTCTGGCTACATGACACCCTCTCTCAAAAAAGAAACGCAAAGACGAACTGCTGGCCTTTCTTAGGGTTCCTATGCTGGCATGCATTCTCTCTAAATACAAAATATAAGGCAGAAATTTTCAAAAAGAAATGTTCCCAAATTGGAGGTAACCTATTTGGCCCCCGTCTTTATATAAATCAGTGACATGAAAAGGCAATTATTAGAGGGTGCATGGAGTCAGAAGAGTTATGGATAAAAGCTGCAACTTCCCTCTCCTGTGGTCTCCCTCCATGTGGCTTAAAGGCCCATTTGTTACAACAGGAGGCCCCTAGATTCTGGAAAGCAGATAATCAAGACCTCTGGGGTCTTCTGCATCACCAAATGAAGTGTCAGGAGAGTTCCCGAGCCCCAAAGCCTGCATTCCAGCTAGGGCTGCTGCCCCCAAGACTGGAGAATCTCTTTTGTGTCTTATAAGCAGCCGTGCTCCACACAGACTGGAAGAGTTGGATCCACAAAGCAAGGATGGCAGCTATTTATCGGTTCCATGATTTGTCTTGGCGGATGTCTGTGGACCAGGCAATCTGGCAATGATGTAACCAACAGCAGCGTTCCTGCTGTCTCCATTGCCTACTGACCACATCCCTCTCCAGAGAATCAGTAGAAACACGCTTTAATTATCAGCCTGATTGCTTATAAACAAGGTGGTGAAAAATTAACTTCTCTAAACAGAGAGCAAGCAAAGGAGGGAGATTTTAAAACAAAATACTAGGGTTAGAACCCAACCCACAAACTTGAGGAAACTCGGCTCAGGGAGGAAAAGCTGACCAGGCCCTCTGTTTTTGCATTCACACCACTTTTCAAGAGAGTGGCAAGCATCCCAGCCACTGCCCACTCCTCTCCAGTCCAGCTGGCAGGAACACAGCCTGGCACAGCAAGCTGCATGCCAAAGGCACATAAGTAAGTTCTTTATTGTGCCTCTCCTCCCCTGCCCTCACCCAATGCTCTCAGTCAATCCTGGGAATCAAGGCTCCATCCACCCTCTCCCCCCCCCCAGCCCCTATAAGTCAGGAGGATAATGGTACATAAGGGGGAGAAGGCCTCACCTTGGCTGTCCTGTCCCTGGAGCCGCTCACAATGATGCCCCCTTTGCAGTCCACACAGTTCACCTCCTGCTCATGAGCCGAGTACTTAACAGTGAAGGTGCTGTGGAGCCTGTGAACGCCAATCTTCCCATCTCTACAAGACAACAGGAGAGCCCCCGCCAGAAGTCAATTACTCTCTGTAGCAAGAGGACCAGACCACTGAAGCAGCCCAGAGATGTCCAGATGCACCAAGCATTGTGCAGTTTGGGCCGCAAGGTGCTGAGCTGCTGGGTGTTACACATTCTCACTTCTTCAGCACCCTTGGGGCTGAAGAGAGGAGCTGAGAGAGGACATAACCCTGGAGGGTATCAAACCTGATCCACTTTGCATTAAAGACTCTTCCTGATTTCTTCCCTGGCTAACCCTATTAACAGCTTTTGGTAAATCTCTGCTTTACGGTTTTTTAAAAAACAAAACCTACCTTTGAAAAAGTTTCCTTCCCTATCCCTTTGTTGTTGAGCCAGAAGAGACAGAGGCAAACACAGGAAGACGGGCACTTACCCTCCTGCACTGATGATATGTGAATTTGCCAGCACAAAGTGGCAAACGTCCTCATCATGCCCAGCAAAAACTCTGAAGGGTCGACGGTTCAGGCTGGCACCATCTGGGCGGAACTGGTAGGCCAGGATGAAATTAGCCTGAGATATGTACAGAGAAGCATCCTCCAGCTGCATCCAGGGCATCTGACTACAGAGAGGGACCAAAATAAACAAAATAAAATAAAAATAAAGTAAAAGTGCGCCTGCACTTCTTATAGATAAACAGAACTTTAAAAAAATTAAGTTGAAGAGTAGGGGAAGTTAAAAAGACATTTCCAGCCAGGTAAAGTGATCTCTGCATTATGGCTAAGTCCCACTGGTAAGTTTCAGGCTTCCAAGCCTCTGACATATACTCCTTGCTCAACAGATCAGTTAAGGTGTGAGAGAGAAAAGGTAAGTTTTAAGAGACTTCATTTAGAAGTGAAAGGAAGCCAGCTATTTAGGAGAGTACGCAAACCTGCTCAAGAGATGCTTTGGTCCTCCCAGGGATGTTGATATTTCTGTAGTGGAGGGGATGTGTAGTGATATAACTCCAAATAACTCCAAAGTAGCGTGTTGCAGTTCAGGGGCTACAAAGAACTCAGCCCTCACAGTAACTGATAAGAGACATCCAGAGAAGGTTCTAGAGTCTCTCTCCAATCTCCAAAAGAAAGAAAGTTTAAAAGCCACTGGCCAATCCTATATCATGGAACTAAAGCCTTAAGGAACAAAAAAAAAAAAAAAAAAAAAAAAAAAACTTTGTGGCAAATAGTGGCATACAGCTGTAATTCCAGAACCCTCCTGAGTGCTAAAGCACGAGGGGCAGGCCATCTTTAGATGCATATGTAGGTCAAGGCCATCATAGGCTATCTCAATAAACAAGAGGGGTGTGAAAAAAGAGAAAAGATGACAGAGGAGAGGAGGGAAGAGGAGAGGAAAGGGATAGGCAACTCTACTAGACAACTAAGCCCCTTCCCCAAGACAGACATCCCCACTGTACCTCTCCTACTAAACAGTCCTGGAGCTACCAGGTCTCAAGAACTCAAAGGGAAAGCTGACTCATCCCCAGGGACAGACACCATCTCCCACGGCCAAGTCTGTCTGAGCAAACTGGGCTGCGTTTCTTCCCCAGCCTCCTTAAAACAGGCGTCATGGGAATGTGGTAAAGCTCTGCAAATTGACTTGCCGGGCCATTAAATGCAGGTTGAACTGTGTAGGAACTGAATTTCTGCTCATGCAGTTTTTACAAGTGTATGTATGTTATATAGAACATGTGTAAAGTGTGTGTATAAATGTCTGTATTCATCTTTTTCACAATTATGTAGGACATTCAAATGGGCAGCAAACAGAACAGGCTGGAATTCACGTACTTACAACCATGTGGTAAACAGACATTTACCTAGGACATGAAACCAGGTTCATGCCAGGTGAACAGTGAAGAATCCTGGGGCAACCTGGTAACTGTTCTGTGTTTATTTGCCAGACTGCCTTAAATTAATGCCCTAAAAGACAACACCAGAAGCAAAAAGTTGACAGAGAAATTGCTCTTTGATGTTAAAAGGCACAAATAGCAGGGTATGGTGGCACTGTAATCCTAGCACTAAGGATGCTGAGCACAAGGATGGCAAGTTTGAGGTCAACCTGAGCTGCAAAGGAGATTCTGCTTTTTAAGAAAACCACACCAGATAAAAATGGAAATCTGAAGGTAAAGCCCTTCATGATAAAAAAATCCATCTTCCTCTTTCATACTTTCTTTAATATACCACCATATAATTCACAGAAACTGACATCAGCCAAACCAGTAGAAACAGCACAAACAAGACAAAGTGTCACAGTGGTGGCTTGAGTGAAAATGGTCCCCACAGGCTCATCCATAGGCTGTTTGGTCACCAGTGAGTGGAACGGTTTGAGAAGGACAGAAAGATTAGGGGGCGTGGCCTTTGAACTAGGCATGGTCCTTCTGGAAGAAGTGTGTCACTGAGGATGGGCTTTGAGCTTTCAAAAGTCTATCCTAGACCCAGTCTCTCGCTCGCTCACTCGCTCGCTCTCGCTCTCTCCCCCACCCCTGCGGACTGTGGATGAGCACGTAAAGCTCGCAGCTACTGGTCCGGTGCCATGCCTGTCTTTCCCTGCCATGATGATAATGGACTAACCCTCTAAAACTGTAGACAAGCTGTCTATGAGTTGCTTTAGTCATGGTGTCTCTTCACAGCAGTAGAACAGCCACTAAGACAGGTCACCAAAAGCAGAAGTGTACCTTATCTATCAGCACAAGGATGGCCAGCCAGGATGAAAGGGAACAAAGCTCCCAACCCACTGAAATCAACCAACAAGAAGCACTTTTTGGGTAAGGTGCCACATAACAATTATGAAGGGCTTGGATACTGATAAGGCACAAACAATGCTATAACAACCATCAAAAGTGTACAGTGCTGGGCCAAGGCCATAGCTCAGGGAGAAAGCACTTGCTGTTCAAGCATGAAAGGTTGATTTCAAGTTCCCAAAACCTGTGTAACGAACAAGTCAGACTCTACACAAGTGCCCGTAACCACAGCACCATGAGGTAAAGAGTAGAGACAGGAGGATCACTGAGACATGATGGTTACTAGCCTAGCTCCAGATTCAGAGACCCTATCTCACGGGAATAGATGGAGAGTAATAGAGCAGGCCACCTAATGTCCTCTCTTGGCCTCCAAGCACTGCTTTGTACACCCACACAAGTGGACATACACCACGCATACACACTGGCACTCTTTCTAAGTCCTACTTCACATTATCTCTAATATCCCATTTTGCCTTTTTAAAAAAATTACATTTCCAACTGGGCAGTGGTGGTGCATGCGTTTAATCCCAGCACTCAGGAGGCTGAGGTAGGGGGATGTCTGTGAGTTCCTGACCAACTGGGTCTACAGAGTGAGTTCCAGGACAGCCGGAGCTACACAAAGAAATTCTGTCTCAAAAAAAACAGAAGTTAAAAAAAGGAAGAAAGAAAAGAAAATTGGGATAGGATCCACCTAAGTTACTCAGGCAGGCTCTTTAGCCCAGACCACCTTTGAAATCGAGATCCTCCTACCTCACACTGTCCAGCCCAGAATGCATTTGTTACAATCTTTCTTTGAACCATATTATATTAGCAAATCATCTTTCTCCTGGATTCTTTGTGGTCTATCACCACACCAGTAGTCACCCTACCAGAGCTAGCCGATACAGTCTAATTTCCTTTATTTATTTATTGTTATTATTATTATTATTTTCGAGACAGGGTTTTTCTGTGTAGCCCTGGCTGTCCTGGAACTCACTCTGTAGACAAGGCTGGCCCCAAACTCACAAAGATCCATCTGCCTCTGCCTCCCAAATGCTGGGATTAAAAGTGTATACCATCACCGCCTGGCTTTAATTTCATATTTTCTATTATGCTCTTCTGTCTTGGGAAGCCTTAAAAGAATCAAGAAGTCTAGCAGATGACATAGAAGTTAATAGCACTTGCTGCTCTTTCAAAGGATCCAGGTTTGATTCCCAGCACCCATATGGTGGCTCACAACTGTCTGTATTTCCAGTTCCAGGGGATCTGAAGTCCATGTGGAACTTCCTCAAGTACCAGACATATACATGGTACATTGACATACAAGCAGACAAAATAATTATAAACAAGCCAGGCATAGTGGTGCATTGCTTTTAATCCCAGAATTTGGGAGATAGAGACAGACAGATCTCTATGAGTTTGAGAATAGACCAGTCTACACAGTAAGTTCAAGACAGCCATACCTACATAGTGATACCCCCATCTCAAAACAAAACAAAAATGAAAACAAAAAGTAAAAAGCATGTGCATGAGCCAGTGGGACAGGAACACGACAAACAAGACTTATACACATAAAATAAAAACAAACAAGTCTTTAAAAAAAAAAATCAAGAAGCTACTTGCCTACATCTCCACTTCAGCAGAATCCCCTCCCGGCAGCGCCCCAGTCTCCAGTTCTGAGAAACCTTCACTCGGTCCTTTACTGGAATGCTGGTCATCCTAGGTCCAAACACAACAAAGAACTCAGTCACTACAACTCATTGCCAATAAGAGAAAATTCTATGACTTACTTGATCGGAACCTGGCAACATCCAGATACAGGTTAAAGGGATTATGGGATCAGAAGTAATAACTCCTATCTCCATACTTGCTGGTCAATCCTTTGAACTACTCCAAGTGTCTACAGTGATGTCAAAACACCTAGTGAAAAACATGCCATACAGTGCGAGAGCCAGTGAGAGCACTCGATGGGTAAAAAGCACTTGCCACAAAAGCCTTACAACGTGAGTTTGATGCCCGGGGTGGAGAAGGAGAACTGACTCCCAGAAGTCCTCTAATCTCTACACATCACGCATGCACCTGCCCACATTCACACTGTGAGAACACGAACACACACACACACACACACAAGTCTGCACTAAGAGGGTAACATAATAGTACATCTTTTTTTCTTTAAATTTCAAGTACTGAAAATCCTGGATATCCATATTGAAAAAGATGAACCCTGACTGATACCTACCTCACACCAAACAGAAAAGTTTGTATATTATAAAACTAAATATAAAATATAAAATGTAAAGCTATTATAATAAACTATATAAAGCCATCTATTGGGGAAAATGGCATGTGACTGTCTTGGGGGGTTGGTAGGCAAAGTTTTCTTGGGACACAGGAAATGAGAACATAAAAGAAAAATGGTAATGAATTAGACTTTATCAAAATTAAAAACTATGCCATCAAAATGAGCATAAGAAGCCAGAGTCTGGGGAAATATTTATAATACATATATATCTGGCAAAGGACTTATACTCAAATGAAGAAATATTTCTCTATATGCTTAGGTTAGTCTTGATTCCGTCTGCCTCAGAGCCAAGTGATAAAAAATTAGGCACGTACCACCATTCCTGACCTCTATGTTCATATACTTTTAAAAGACCAGTAAGGAAGTTTTCTACTTGATGATGGCAGAGAAAGAAATGGCACAGCCATTGGAGCAAAAGGTCCAGCAGGGGTTACTTTATATTTTTATGGGTATGAGAGGTTTTGCCTGCACACATATACGTGTACCATGTTCATATCTTGTGCCTGAAAAGGCCAAAGGGAACATGAACTTCCCCTGGAACTGGGGTTATGGACAGTTGTAAGCTACCAAGTGGGTGCTGGGAGCCAAACCCAGGTCCTCAAGTGCTCTTAACATCTGAACCATCTCTCTGCCCACCCCCAACTTAAAAAAATGGATTATACTGAATGAAGACAATATTACACAAAATGTAGCTCATTCTCATGAACTTGAGAAAAGGGCTAATTAACCTAAAATGAATAAAACTCATAATTATATAATGATAGATAACCAAAAGGCAGGGATGGGAAGCATTGGGAAGGGAGCTTGTAGAAACTTCCTAAGGTTTGTACCTAAAACGTGAAGGGCTTTGGGTCTATCTATCAAAAATGCATCAGCTGGGTCAGGTGAGGTCTACAGGCCACAGTGTAGTGCTCAGAAGCTCAAGAGGCCACCTGGTCTACATAGCAGCGTCCAGGCCAGCCTCAAGCAAGACAGTGTCTTAAAACAAAAGTGGGGCCATCAAGAAGGCTACAAAGGAAAGGCCCTTGCCACCAACCCTGAACCTGAGTTCTGTCCCCAGGACCCACCTACATGATGGAAGGAGAGAACAGACTTCTACAGTTTGTCTCTGACCTCCACATGTGATATGTACATACACATAAATGTAATAAAACTCACTACCAACAAATTTCAAATGATCAAGTTTAAATTTGAGCACTTTACTAAAATACAAGTTTAATCTAAATCCACTCTGTATATGTTTATGTGTTTAAGAAACTGCTGGGCAGTGGTGGCACACGCCTTTAATCCCAGCACTTGGGAGGCAGAGGCAGGTGGGATCTCTGTGAATTCCAGGCCAGCCTGGTCTACAGAGCAAGTCCCAGGACACAGAGAAACCCTGTCTTGAAAACAAGCAAGCAAACAAAACCCATAAACTAATACAATCAAAGATTTACATACATGCTCAAATGTGGAGTGGATTAGTATCTGTAACTTACTTTGAAATGCATGGTTAAGCAAATATGGCCAAATAATTATGAGATCTAGACAGTGAGTATATGAATGTTCACTATACAATTCTTTTCCATGTTTTAAACTTTTCTTTAAAAAGATGCTGACTGAGTCATGGATGTCTGGATGAAGAGGGCAAGACCAGTAAGAGATGGGTCCACACCATCAGGAAGGTTGGCATAGTGTGGAGTGTGAAGACAAGGATGAGTTCAAGGGCCTCTTGAGAGTACATCTTTAGACAGAACTGTGAAATCATGGGTAAGAATCGAAAAGTTTCCTCTGTGAAAGATGGGCTCTGCCTATCTGTGTGTCTCCACGACTCCATACACTTGACTGCACAAGGTGCACTGCTTCTGCTTGGGACTCAGTGATAACATCAGATTTGCTCAGAAACCACTGACAAGGAGGGACACGTACACATTTCTCTTCATCTCTACTTCCACCTTCCTATGTGTCGCCCATCACTAAACACCAGCAAACAAAAGTCTTAATTTAAGAGTCTAATGGACACGCATTTGGAAAGACGGCTTGGGCAGGCAGAGAGATAGCCAATCCATTTCAAGCGATGCCTTACATATATACATAGAAAAATTCTTTTGATCTGTGAAGTCATGGATGCATAGACTTAATTTTAAAGACACGGGGATAGACAGCATGGAAGGTTAACAATATGAAAATGAGTCTTCCTCCTAAACCTCATCAAGATCTCATTTTTTCCATTTGCCTTTCACTCAGCTTCCTCTAATTTAATATCTTATTTAATCTTGAGATAGTTGTGCTTTTATATATTTCTCAATTCTTCTACAATGTAATATTCAAAAAGAGAAAAATGTCCTTTAAATTATAGACACTTGGAGGCAACTCAGCAGTCAAATACATGTGCATTTGTAAGGCTCTGGGGATACTCCTTAGTATAAATAAATAATAAAAATAAAAGTTTCTGTTGACAAAACTGAGCATGTACGATAAAGAAAAAAAATTAGGTATCTATCTCATACTACAATATAGTAAATTCAAATAAAAGGGGGGGTTGGTAAGTTGGACATTATAACTCGAGCCTATGATCTTAACCCTCAAAAGGCTGAGGCAGAAGGATTTATTGTGAGTTCAAAGCTAGCCTGGGTCAGGAGTGAGTCCCAGGGCAGCATCACCTATATGCAAGATCTTGTTTCATCTCAAAAAAATAAAATAAAATAAAAAATAAAACAAAACAAACATTAAGATAGTTTAGGGAGAAGGGAAAAGAAAATGAAATATATATACACTCCAAAGAAAAGCAGAAACAAAATATGTGAATTATAGTGTGTAAATTGATTCAATTAAGTTTGAAATGCTAACAAAGGTGGGAAAAAGAAATTCAAAGGAAAGCAACAGAGTCAGGGAAACTGGCATTGTAAATACAAGTTTCATCTCTACAACCTTTAGGGAGCTGATAAAAATCTATGAAAACAACGCTAGTCTCTAGTATCCAGCCATCCATGTCCAACAGAGCCTATGAACAGTCACGTGGGAGTCACACAAAGAAACCCTGAGAAAAACATTCCTGAATACTGGTTTAAGGCACAGAAATGTGCTTAAAACCATTATTAAATGCTGCCTTACCGCTAGTAAGTGGGAAAACCTGACAAGCCTTTGACTTTATAAGCACTTGGGTTTGGTTACATTGTTGGTACTGTGTTCTAATCTCAAATTCCCAAGAGGAGCACTGTGTTACAAATAAGTCAAACACATTATACAATGTATGAGCTGGAAACAGCCCCAATGTTTTCCCGTGGGAGGGAAGAACACTCTAAATAGACCATGTACAACCACTAAAAATGAAAATGAGAGGAATTAAAACATGGAACTAGCTGTTGTACAGTAAAATTGATAATTGTAAGACTAAGTAAAAATTACCACATAAAATGATTTCTATAGATAACAGATCAGAAGATATATTAATGGTGTTTTGAGATGTGAACAAGTTTGTTTGGTTTAGTTTGATTTGTTTTTTGTTTATTTTTGTTTTGTTTGTTTTTTGTTTTTGTTTTTGAGACAGGGTTTCTCTGTGGCTTTGGAGGCTGCTCTGGAAATAGCGCTGGTCTCAAACTCACAGAGATCCACCTGCCTCTGAACTCGAGATCCACCTGCCTCTGAACTCTGGAGTGCTTGGATTAAAAGTGTGTGCCACTACACCCAGCAGTGAACAAATTTTTAAATATATCACATAGTTGATAATGTGTCTTACTTTTAACTATAAATAAATTATTTTAAATAAAGTTCTGCAAAGCACAGAAAGCAGACTCAGGACACGGGAGTGGCCACTGTGTATCATGTAACTGCGCTAACTTTCTGACTATCCCTACACCTACAAAGTGAGGATATTTCACATAGGGCCTGCCGCACAAGTCTGATGCCCGAGTCCGATCCTCAGAATCCACAATGAAGGGAGAGCACCAACCCCCAAAAGCTGTCCTTTGACACATGGCACATACTTCAGTAGTTACACACGGATCAAACACACACATATACAAAAAAATTAACAATAATAAAGTAGTTTTAAACATAATTCACACAAGTATGGTATTTTAAAGATGATACCTAAAACAGATTTATAATTTGTAAAGTGATTTTTTTTTTTTTTTTTTTTTTTTTTTTTTTTGAGTCTGGGTCTTATTTAGCCCAGGATGGCCTGGAACTTACTCTATATTATCCTAAGTGCTGGGACTACAGGCATGCCTCATCACATGTGGTACTCATGCATGCTAGACAAGTACTCTACCAACTCGGCCCCAGACCATTATTTTCTTGTAAACACAAATGTAACTACTAGCTAACACTGAGTACCAGGGATGTCACTGCTAAACCTAAATATTTTTTTTCTCCTAATCAATTTAGTTATAACTTTTAAAAGTTAGTCCTCTAAAAACAAACATTCTGTCTTTTA